TGACTTGAAGTCTGAAACACACTGGCGCAACAAAAACTTCATAAAAATTTCTCCAACATTTTCAAATAATTCAAAACATTTTATTTCCCCTTTCATTATCCACTTCATTTCACGAATCAAATCTATTTATTTAACGACAATTTTTTATAACCAAAACTCAATTCTGCAAATTATGACAAAATTGTGCTCAATACACACAACTTTTTGCTACGCAGTAAATAAAAAGTAAAAATCATGTAATAAAAAGAAATAGTTTGGAAATGACCAAAAATTCTATTTATGGTTTCCGTTTGACGTTCATAAAACTCTGAGTTTAAGATCCGTTTTGGTGGTATTTTGAGATAAAACCATGTATGTGATCCCACATGTGACTATTCGCATCCATGAATGGCCAGTAGTTAAATGTTTGATCGAATTGCGTGGACACAGTTTTAAGGGAGAGGAAATGAAAACGGCTCGTAAAACGAATTCTATATTGTCATAAGGAAATTTGAATTGGAATGAAGAAAAAAAATGTGCCTCGGAAGAAGAAGTCGTATATTAAATACGACGGTAAATTTGCAGTTTATCATTGTCATGTCATGTCATGCGTGTATAAATTATTATAGTTGATTTTGAAAGGAAGAAGTGGTCCTAAACTCGACCGCGAAAATGTGGCAACAAGAAACTCATGCTTTTCCATATGGCATCTTTCATATACGTCTTTTCATCCGCCTATGCATTGGAATATCTTTCTAATTTATTTCAATAGACGCTTGGCTCCGAGATGTTGCTCGATAAAATGGAGCAATTCTCTTATGCGATAAATTTTGGATGAATCTGATAAAAACAACTGCTTGCGATGCCATCTAATTGCAAACTGTGAAACGAATGAGTTACTCAAAGGGGGATTCTTTTGCCGAATAGTAGCGATACAGGCGAATTACGAAAAATATTTATGTTTTCCGTGAAAGAATTAAAATGTTGAATTTAAAATCACGATAGAGCGTTAATCACCAAACCAAACTATCACCTGTGGGTTGTTTCTCTCACCCCACCTCTCTCTTACTCTCGCAAAAAACCAGACGAAACAAATGGCCACCGAAGCGAGACCGGCGGCTTAAAAAGAATTAAAGAATAGTGCGGTTAAATCAGTGCCCTCGAACAGCGATCGAAGGATGTGGTGTGAACGAAAAAACAAAATACAAAAAATTTGGACACTACACACACAAACATCCAATAAATTACATAAATGTTCATTTAATGAATGCTCATGATTGCAAACATCGAGGGAGCATAGAAACCGAACTAGTTTAATCGCACCCTCGTGCACCATATCTCCAAATTAAAATCGAATTAAACGAACGAATGCGAAAAATAGCGAATAATTTCGAGGTATTTCTTTGCGCGTGAATCGAATTGAAACAAAGCCAGAGACAAAATAAGAGAATAACACACACGCGCACTTTTTTCCGACAAAATCTGCAATGCATCGTCTATAAATAACGAAGCAAGCATTTCCATTTAACCAAATGTTCATTACAAATTTTTAACTCTCTGGCATTTTGTCTCTATATTCAATTGAGGCACGTTCGATTGGAATTGCTTGTTTATCGTATTTTGCATGTTCAATTCGAAACGGCATAAACAAATTCAGTGTCGAAGATATGTGCTTTTAATCGACTGTTTATCGGAAAAGAAAATTCTTAATTTCCTTCGAAGGATATTAATCCATTTTCGCCACTAATTGCATTTTTTTGCTGGCATTTTCGACAAATAGACACATCGTGTATTACTATCGGTTGTGCATACATCATCAGGGCAAACCCTTTTTTTAAATGTGTTTTCACGATCGCTATGAAGTTGTTAATTTTCGATTTTATTGACGATGATGACTATTAAAACATCTTCCTAGAACGAAGGTGTCGAACAGGATGCGTTTTTGTTTGTCTCGTAGCGATTTTATTAACCCATTAAAAATTCCAAATAACGTCGATAAATTTGAATGAGAGAATGCCGAATCATACACACTACCGATTCACACCCCGATAAATATACATAAATACGTTCATAACGCAACATAGCAAACAAATCGTGGCGAGTGCCGTGTTAAATGCGTTTTTCAATCATTTTTTATAACGTAATCAGGAAATAAGAACGAATATATGCACGCACATAATGTCGCATATGACTTGGCCATAATGGGAGAAATGACAACAAAATGTGTTTTCGAATTTCGTTTGGGAGCGAACAATTTTCAAAATCAATGCAGAAGTTAAATACACAGTTTTTATTATGGCACATGGCAAAAACCGATGACATCGATTCTATCACAACATACGTACCCTTATACACATGTTCGTTTTCATATTGTACACACATCCATCGCATGGCTTAAGGGCAGACATTTTTCAGTCTCATTTTTCAATTTATATTTCATTTGCACGACCATTTCGGTTGCTTTCGATCCAAATGGAAATTTCACAATATTCCGGAACATTTAAAAAAAAAATACCAGTACCCATAGAAAAAAAGGGTCTTTTATTGTTTTCTATGTCGCTATTATTCGTGCATTGAAGACGATGCAACAATACGCAATACCTTTGTTATGTGCGTCGCACACGTATTACTATTGAATTGGGGTTGCAACTGCCACACCACTCTATAATTATTTTGAGTAAAAATAGCTAAAAAAAATAGAACTAAATATTCAATTAGTTTTATAGTGCACAGTTACGCACTGAATAAAAGGTATTGATGATATTTCGTTGATGCTGATGAAAGATAGTGGCGCAGATGGCTTGCATCCTTGGTGCAACAATTGTTCAGTGAATGCGGAAATCTTGATTGTTTTTAATCAAAAAAATCCGATCCGTCTGTAAATTTCGACTCTGAATGAATTGAGGCGTTGTGATTTTTACGAAAGATATGTCAGGGTGGCGTTTATTCAATATACACTCAATCTTCAATTATTACAACTCGCTCGAATATAATTTGAACTGCGTTAACAGCCATCAATATGGCGAATCATATGCTCAGCTGAATTATTCTACTTCGACATTTGTGCTCTTCCACCTCAAATGTAATATTTTGTTTAATAAAGTCAATTTCCTGTTCTCGTTCTTGAAATTAAGACAAAACCGAAAAGAATATCAAATGACGTTATCTGTTGTTTTGCATTAAAATGCACGATAGTTTTAATTGTATGTAATAGATCTCGACCATTCTTCTTTCGTCGAAGTTTTAAGTGGTTCATTGTGTTTGTTTGCAACGTGAACTATTCGTATCTGTCGATTCAAAGATGTATGCTTTTTGTGCGCAATCGACCATTTTGCCAAGGCAATACCACACATATCGAATGATAGAGACGAAAAACAAAAATAAAAATGGATGGAGTTCGATGTTCGAAAACTTTATTAGTAGTTTTCGATCTTAAGACGAGTACTACTGAAGAATGGTGAAACATAATGATAGCTGGCAAAGCGAATAGGTATAATGGGAGGCGAATAGAGAAAAGTGGTGTTAGCAGTTGTTGATGCATGTTGATTCTGTTTCACGTGAATGCATCCAAACTAATGCTGCACAACATACACATGGTTCTTTCGAAAGGCAAACAAGTAAATAGAAGAAAACCAGATGAGCCACAGAGCGTACGATATTTACGTAAAGTATCCGAAAAGTTTTCATCATTGTCTTCGATTCGACAAATCCATCGACTAAAGTACATGTCTTGTTCTCTGTTACTGGGTGAACAGGCACGCACACACACATACACATTCAAACTGCTTGTTGAACGTGCAACGTGTACCATATATATGCAATTTTATGCGAAACATTGCAAACATTTTTCTTTCATTCTTTACTTCGTTATTTCGGCTTTTCTTTTGCAATTTCATTCTCTGTTGATGGTGAATGTTGCGTTTGTTATATTTCTCTCCCTTCAAATCTTGCCGAGTTTTTGCAAAGTAATAGCAGAACCTCCTCACATCCCAATGGCCGTTACCTATAAATTGGTTTCATATAATAAATGTGTAATTATTGTAAGGCTTTTAGTCTTAACGTGAAAGTTAAAAGTTAGACACATTGCTTAAATAGTGTGTTGCATCTTCTTTGAATTTCGAAAAGTGGAGTCGATGATGCAAGCAACTCTTGACTTACTTCGATAACTTAACTTTTTCGATTTGTTACGAGAAATAAAATCAATGGAAATGCCAGAGAAAAGGATTAATTTTTCGTCTTTACGACTTTTTTTTTACTCACCGTCAGTGTGCATGACTCCCCTCCTCGGTCATAAATCTCATCGAACTTCTCTTCGGCACATTCAAGGTTTCATCCCCTCATCTTTTTTCTTTCGTTTTACCATTGAAATCAGAACAGGTATAAAATAAATTAAATCACAACGAAAATCGATGGGTCAGTCTATAAACTTTGCACATGAAAAAAAAAGTTAGTACCGGTCAATGCTCATTCGATTTGCGTTACTCTAACAACTTTTACCCCGAAAATCAAATATATTCGAAACAACGTCTACTATGAGATAAATACTTTCAAGATGATTAAAATAAAAATGTTAAGAGGAGAATGAGCGAGAATAAAAAGAGAATAAAGAAAGAGCAACAATGGATGGGCACTGCAACAATGAACATGACAACGATGACAGCAAAAACTTTTTCATTGTGCGCACAAAAACTTGGATGTCGCAAACGAGCAAACCCATTAAATAGTCCGATATTAAATAAGTTTTGTAAATGGTGCGCGAGACGTGCACTTGAATAGAAAGAGCACTGAAACAGAGAGAGAGAGAGAGAGAGAGAGAGCAAGTATTTTATGCCTTGCCATTTTTTGCGCCAGCTCATGTACACTTACCCAACCACATTTTCTATGATAATAATTTTACGGTCCAAAAAGTTTTCCACTTAACACATTTTAGATATAATTTAATAATTAAAATCGTATTGAAAATTTATTACTTTCATTCTCATTTGCTGACAATTTTTTTTTTCTTCTTCTTTTTTACACAGTTTTACGAGATGAATTCCGGTTGGAACCACAAAACACACGAGTTGCACTTGGAGATGTTGCCATACTTGAGTGTGTTCCACCTCGTGCCAATCCCGAGCCGGTATGTTATTGTTTTTTGTTGTTGTTCTTAAGCTTCTTCATTCATTTTCATTATACATTTTGACAATGGCATCCGTAATTTATTTCGAATGCTGCATGAATATCACAATGAAAACCACGATAATTAACACTCAAATGGTTTGATTTAATTTCATTATAGGTTGTTACTTGGCGTAAAAATGGACAAACCATGGATTTAACCAACTCAAAACGGTAAGTGGTATATCGAATATGACAATGGACAAACACAATAAGCATCAGCAGCAACAAAAACCTCATTAATCACATTATCTATTTTTCGGTATTTGTTTTTCGCCACGCGTAGAATTCGAATTGTAGACGGTGGTAATTTGGCCATTCAAGATGCACGACAATCAGACGATGGAAGATATCAGTGTATCGCACGTAACGCGGCTGGTGTTCGTGAATCGTCGGTGGCATTTCTTAAAGTACATGGTAAGTAGCATGAACTTTAATTTTGTTGAGAATCAAATAAATGTCGAAAAAATTGTGTAACGTACATTTTTATTTGGCGTTAATTTATGTTTTTCATCTTTCTCTATTTTCATTCGGTTAAACCAGTGAAACCATTCTTGATACGCGGACCGCAAAATCAAACGGCTGTCGTTGGTAATTCGGTAACGTTCCAATGTCGTGTAGGTGGTGAACCTGTACCAGACGTTCTATGGAGACGTTCAGCATCTGGTGGTAAGAATTAAAAATCCATTGAACATTCATTACACTTTCCCGCACTTTCCATTCCATTTGCTGACATTTTTTTTTTCATTGTTCCTCAGGAAATATGCCATTGCGTAAGTACTGTGTTTGATATAATTTGCTCACATAAATAGTATGCACACAACAAGGATACAATAATACCTGCCGACATGGCAATAGCAACTCCAAGCAACAGCAGTCGTAAATCGCATGAATTATTGCAATAATAATTTTGCGTTGACTTGGAAAATCATTTAATTTCCATGCATAAAGCATGTTGTTGTTTGGTCGGGTGTGTATGTTACGCATCATCTACGATTTCAGCAAACAAACTAAAACGCCTCGATTCAATGAAGACGCACACAAAACCAAATTGAAACTGTTTTGCTCTATTGCAATTTGAATTTATCCCTTGGTTACGAAGTGAAATGCTGTCGATTTCGGTTAATTACGACGATTCAATCGATTCAAACAAATCGAAAACGATTTGCATACATCGTTTTAGTTAGATTCTCCATTGATTTTATCACATTTGAATAAATTGTAAATGTTCTGCTGTAAATTCAATACAATATTGAATGCGATGTACGCTTCAATCTAAATTCAAGCTGAAATAGAGAAATGCGAATGTCGTTAGAAAAAGAGATAGATTAAATTGTCAATTCGTTTGCGATTTCCAATGCAAACAAACATATTGCAATTTGTTATTGGATTTTCTGCAAATGTAAAATGTCTTGATGAAAATTTAAATAGTTCATTGCAGTGCATGTAATATATAAACGAGATTTTCATTATTGGTTGTGTTGTTGTTTTTTTGTGTTACAATAAATAGATCGCGTTCACATTCTCGAGGATCGCAGTTTGCGATTGGAAAATGTTGGATTAGACGACATCGGAGAATACACGTGCGAAGCCGACAACGCAGTCGGTGCTGTCGCATCCACAGGAAATTTAATCGTTTATGGTAAGCTGCATTTTATTTAATTTGATTGACTTAAAACTTACAAGTTAGATTTGGATTTCATGTGACGTTTTTTTTCACTGAACTTTTCTGTTTAGTTTTCATTTGCATTCAATTTTTTATTTGCTTTTCTTTTATTTTTGCAACAATTTCTTTTCCCGTCATTTCTAATTAATTTTATTTATTTATTTTTGATTCGTTCAGCTCCTCCGGTGTTTATAACACGGCCAAAGACACAAATTGTTGAATTAGGAAAAGAAGCAATCTTTGAGTGTGAGGCAAATGGTTATCCAAAGCCCACCACCTTTTATTCAATTGAGGGAAATCGTACGCTTATGTTCCCTGGATACAAGCACGATCGTATTGAGGTGACACAAACGCCCGAAGGTCGTCTTTTGTTGTCAATTCAAAATGTTCAACGCACCGATGCTGGGAAAATTATTGTTTGCAGTGCTGTAAACAGCGTGGGCAGCACAAGTACACGCGTTGTTGTGACAATAAATACACAAGAAGAACGTCCACCACCAATTATCGTCCAAGGGCCGGCCAATCAAACACTTCCAATCAAATCCGTTGCCACATTGCCATGCAAAACCATCGGCGGACCTGTGATTACAATTGCATGGTACAAGGATGGCATACCATTGGTATTAAATGATCGCATGAATCTTTCGCAAAGCGGCACATTAACCATTAGTGAGTTGAGCAAAGAAACTGATTCCGGATTATACATTTGTGTTGCAAGCACCAAAAGTGGCAGATCAACATGGAGCGCTTATTTAAAACTTGAAGCACCAACAAATCCAAATATTCGATTCTATCGTGCACCAGAAGCATCCACCTTCCCCGGCCAACCCGGTAAGTTTTAAATCACATTTCACTCCTTCTTTTCTTGTTTTGATGTTACTCAGTTTGTGGTTACGTTGCCCTTTTCTATGTACACAATCGTGTTCTTAGTATCGTTCTCTCCTCGGCGCACTCAAATTAACTAAATGAGTTAAGTTCATTGTTGCGCTCAAGTGACATAAAAATCGGTCTATGTGTTTTGTAAGCGGGTCTAACCATTGCCAAAAAGTTAAATTATCTACTCATATTGCTTTTACAATGTGAGTCCGTTTTTGTGATTTCACCCTCCGTTCAAATTGTGTGCACCGAAAATGTGTATCAGTGTTTAATTTAATTTGATGCGAAACGTTGTGAATGGGGAATATAAAGTCGTTTGTAATTTTTCGGAATGTTGAAAAAGCAACAGCCACCACATTGGAAAAATCCTTAGAGAAATCTCTCATGGCATTCAATGTTATGTTCTGTGGGTGCGTCGCAATTTTTCAGCGATTTGTTATGTAGACACCAAAAGTACTTATCTACCGTCTGTTTCAATTTTTTCCCTGTCGATGTTACACACGATACACACAAATGGAAGCAAACAAACACACAACGTCCCTTGCAGCAAAACCATTCGACTAATTTAATTTTGAAAATGAACACGAAGAAAAACAGAAAAATAAACCACATACACACACACACCGATGCGCACTCACTTTATTCGATTTCGTTTGTAAATATGAAACATATTTTTTGATTGTTTTAATTGTTCGTTGTTTCTATCCCGTAGGCAAACCGCAAATTATTGAGAAAACCGACAACAGTGTGACAATAACATGGTCGCGAAGCACGAAAATTGGTCAATCGAGTTTACTTGGATACTCAGTTGAAATGTATGGACGAAATGATACCGAAGGTTGGGTTACAGTTGTACAACGCTTGCAAGACACAACTTATACACATACCGATTTAACGGCTGGCATAAGCTATTACTTTGTGGTTCGAGCTGAAAATACACATGGAATGTCGGCGCCCAGCGCAATATCCGAACCCGTCATCGTTGGAATTGTAAGTACAAACATAAATGTTGTTACTATTTTGCATCTATTCAACCATTTTTACGAACTTTTTGGTGTGAGGAGTAAAAAAAAGAAGCATCACGAACACCATAAACTTTATGAAAATTTCATCAACGAAATACACTCGGTTTATAGTGAAAATTAGAACATCAAATTTTCGAGAGTTAAAGTTTTGGTTAGAAAATTAATTGGAATCTCGAATTCAGACACACACACACACCAAGAGTGAAATTAAATTCATCAGCAGAAGCTACAGACACTATGGCTCAATCCAATTAAAATATTATGTGCACATTAAATAGATCTCTTCGTTGTATGCACACTGCACACATAGATAGAAAAAGAGTGACTAAACATAGTGAGACATGCATGCAATTTTGAAAAGATGTGCACCTTGCCGTGCATTCGTTAGTTGGCGAGTGTCAACTACGTGCATTTATAAATTTCATTTAACAAACTTTTCGCTTTTGTACACATACACACTTGCACCGCGTACAAGCCGACTCCTTTTCCACTACCGTCGAGCTCATCGTGTGTGTGTGTTTGCATTTGGCATTCAATTTTAAATTAATTTATATTCTCGCATTTGCACATATTTATGTCGGACGAGATGTGAGCAAATGTCACCCATTTCGATGACTTCATCGACCTCGTTTGCATCGCTCGATCTCCCCCTCGCTCTTTCTCGCTCTCTATCGTAGTGGCATTATGGTGCTACTGCCAAAAAGAATGAACTAAAGCAAATATATGCATTTTGCGATTCATCATCTCGTCGTTTGGAATGCACACACTTTCGAATGTGAATATTCGGTACTGCCGATACAGCGAAAAGCGAGAAAGATGAATTTGTATGCTTTTTAGACCCTGGTGTGTGACAAAGATTGCACATAATTTATGTGTCTCTTGCTTTGTCTCTCTGTGTCGAGATCCGCAATGCCCCCGCTATGGTTGGTTGGCAATGGCTGAATGACTGTGAGTGTCGCTTCTCGATGTATGTTCGTTTGCTCCTTTTTCGTATATGTCGATTCAATATATGAAAAACAAACAAAGCGCACATATATTTCATGTATGAACTGAGCAGTCAGTCGTCGAATTCATGCGAAAATCTCGTTTGTTTTCTCTCTCTCTCTCTCTTTCAGCTCTCTCGCCATGAGTTCAGTTCCGGTTTGTAAATAAAAACCGTAAATAAACAACAATCGAATTGAAAATGGTGTAGAGTAGCAAAAGACATACACAGCAAATGTTCAAGTATTTGTGCATACACAAATCTTGAACTGATGAAAAATCATTTTAAGAATGCTCAGCACTGCAAAAAGCACTGCAATGCTGAAAACAAAGCTCTCCGAATTCCAATTTTTATTTCCTCTTTAATTTTGATTCATTTTCTGAAGCGAAAGCGCTGTTTGCAATGTATTTTCTTCATTGTAATTTTTGAATTCTTATGGTTTGTTTTTTGAATTTTACAGAATGACTTTAACACTGGTCTCGATCTTAGTGAAGCTCGCGCCAGTCTACTGTCTGGCGATGTTGTTGAACTAACCAATGCGACGTCAACGGATTCAACCAGCATGAAACTTGTGTGGGAGGTAAGCATATCAAAACTATACAATATTTTTTTTTTTGTTATCCTTCAACAACTAAAACAAATCACAACGAAAAATGAACTCATTCTCGCGGCCCAAAGAGGATGAAGCTTATAAATTTTTCAAAATGCAAACGGCACACAATGCAGCTGTGCTGATGTGCAAATGTAACGACAATCTGCTGCAATTTAACTCAATTCGGTGCGACCAATGCATCAGCACTGGCAACGTATTAAAAATTTATCAAATTATACTCTCATTCACTTCACATTGTTATTTCACAGCATATTCTTTTTAATCTTTGCCATCGCTCTATAAAACCATTTTGGAGCTTTTGATAGCATTTGTTACTGCGCTCGGGACCATTATTGAATTGCAATAAAAAAAAACATGAAATATTATTTTCGTTTCAGATCATCAATGGCAAATATGTTGAAGGCTTTTATATTTACGCAAGACAATTGGATTCGGACAATGATACATACAAAATGTTAACAGTGCTTAATGGCGGCGGAGCATCAACATGCACTGTTACCGGGCTCATGAAATATCAATCCTATGAATTTTTTATCGTTCCGTTTTACAAAACCGTTGAGGGAAAACCATCGAACTCTCGCGTTGCGCGCACACTCGAGGATGGTGAGTTGAATATTGTGTGATTTTTTTTTATGAGAAAAATCTTTTCCGGTTCAAATAGATTGGGAATCGGATTGTTGTTTACACGAATTTTCATCCAAATCAATCGACGGTTTGTGATGTGAATTGATGGTCAAATGAGTATTTTGCAATGATATTAGCAAAAAAATCCCCATTCCAACAAATGGAAATATCGTAATTTTATAGACAAATAATTTTCGAATCAAAGCATTAGGCTTTCGGACAACAATTTAGCAATTTCAATTTTCCTGGAATTTTTTTCACCGGAATCATTTAGCAATGACCAAAAAAATGTCCAACATTTTTCCATTCGAATGGAATTTTCCAATTTTGAAAATACCTAGAATTGTTCCCATCGAAAATTTGTTCGTTCGCGTGAGATTTTTCGGTTCTAATTTTTATTTCGTTTAATTTTCAGTTCCAAGCGAACCACCATCCCATATGGAAGCACTCTTATTAAATTCTTCGGCCGTTTATTTGAAATGGAAACCGCCAGTGCTTCAAGCTCACAATGGTAAGTTATTTTTCTTTTTATTAAACATTCTCAAGATGAACACTGATTGACCCAGTGTTTAATTGGTTTTTTTTTTTAAGTTTTCACTGATATTGTCACACTTCACTAGGTGATTGAGCCGAAATGGCGTTGATTCAACGCACGTGAAAAAGAAAACGTTTGAAATCAGTTTTTAATAGGATTTTTCGTTCTAATTTTAATCCTCGTACCTCGTTCATTTTTAATGTGGAAAAAAAGAAATATGCATATACCAGCGATGCATTTTATTTGATTCGTTTTTGTCGCTTTCTTCATTCACTCAAGTCATTTATTTTAGTGTGAACAGTTTTACTGACGGCAGTTTTTCGCTATCTTCTGTTCAATTTGAAAAGTTCCATCCAATGAATGTTTACCACTTTTTGTTTTCAATTTGAGCATGTCGTTTTGTGTTTTTCTTTTGTGTGCGCGAAACGACAAGATGCTTAAAATGGTTTGAATTGCGCTAAAATGACACAAAGTTGGCGAACAAGATGTCGCCGGATGTACTTTTTCTTGTTTTCTATTTTACTTTCTGCCATTCGGTTTGAATATTGCAGATTTAGATAAAAGCCTGAATAAAAACGAATCACAGTTGCAATGTACTTGCAATAGAGAAATATGAATCTTGCCAAGTAGTTGTCGCAATTTTTCTTCTTCTTTATCTTTTTAAAGAAAATGTAATTTTTATTGCTGTGTCGTCCTTCTTTTTTTGTAAATCGAAAATACAAGATCGGAAAAGTTATTTTACAAAAAAAAGAAGAAAAAATACAGTTTACCTTTCAAGTGCTGGTTCTCAAGTGCCATTTCACTAAAAAAGATAGTTCGAACACTACATGGAATGAAATGGGCTATTTTTACTTCAATATTTTTCTCCAACGCCAATGTAAAATCGGCGATGATTTTAATAAAACAAGCCGTTTTATAACCGACTTTATATTAATTGCATGCATAGAATGGCTGTATATTGATCCCCTCGATAATAAGTAATAGTGAATCTCCGTTGAGATTAAATGCAAAAAGTTTGTTCTAATTTCATCGGTGAGTTTGTAATTAAATTACACAATGCTGCCAAAACTTTGTTTGTGTTTAATGCACACGCACGTCAGTTAATTTTCGAAGCCAATGTCGGGCATGCATTAACCAAAGCAAAGTTGAATGGTTGGTTGACTGTTCGACAACGGGCGAGCGTGCAATGTACATCATCACCTGCATTTGAATGAAACCTCTTTCGCCTTTGTTATGCAATGCCTTTGATGATATTACCGTTGTGTTCGAGTCAATTGAAAATGTACGTAACGGCACAAAGTCTGAAGTGACAGAATTCGACACCCTCTTGTCTAATTCAAAATGCGAACAAAGCTGCTATTTGTTCTTGATTCGTATGCTAACTTTATCGACAGGCGTCGTGTCATTTACAACGTTTGATGTTCAACTCGGCATGAAATCACATTTCATTACGGCAAAAATGTAGTTTGAAAACTTTGCTTTAAATAAACAAATACAATATCAAAAATAAACCATTTTTTTTCTCTTTCTCCCCTTTCCTTATGTACAGGCGTTTTGCAAACGTATCACATAATCGTGCGTGGTTACGATGCAAACATGAATCGATCTCGAATTCTGACCAATGTTACGATTGATGCTACCGCACCAACACTTTTACTGGCTAATTTGACCGAAGGTGTTACGTATACGGTCAGCGTGGCGGCTGCCAACCGAGCTGGATACGGACCATACAGTACACCGGCCACACTGAGATTGGATCCGATTACCAAACGCCTGGATCAATCAACATTACACAGGTATGCATAGCTGTAAAGTAGTATATTATAAGAAGTGTTTCATATATATTATAAATGTGAAATGGAGACGTGTGTCCGGTATCGAATTACTGTGTGCTTCGTCGCTCGACTGCATTACAGGATTTTTTTTCGCTTCACTTTTTTATTGGGTTGTGGTAAACCATAGAGGATTTTTGCACAATTTATTCCTCATTTTTGTCACGTCTTCATATTTTTATGAGTATTTTCGTTTCGAAAAATTTCACAATTCATTTTCGTTGAAATCATCTTCTGGATCGGACTATAATATCTTGAGTTCCTCTCATCTTCTGCTATTTTTTTTGTCTTTGGTTTTATTGTCATTTGTCATCGAACATTGCACACATGTCGTGTGCCGACTGAATAGATGAATTGAACCGAATTTCGAAACATATACTCACCGCTCATTCTTACAAATAGACCAAAAATGTTAACACACAATATGTGATTGCAATTCTCGACACTTAAATATTTTATCGCCAATTTAACGATTACATTTATCCATTTCGTTGAGAATGGGAGAATATTTCTTCGCTGCAACAGTAATTCCTTTAGTGTGTTGTATGCGTGCGGTTTTTGTTCATTTTGAATTCTCTGAACGGATGGAAATGTATATACATCTCGAGAGAGCGATAAAACTAAACTTTAACAAGACGAATTAATTTCCATATTTCTTATTGAATTCGGATATGTTCGAGGCACAAATTCGCTCTGGCACATAAAAACCTTGAGCATATGTGGTTAAAGCCGTTTTTATAATCGTCGTCACTCATATATTTCATGCGGATATAGCTAGAATATCAGTGTCCAGAGAAAATGTATGTAATATGAATGAGAAACCGCAAGAAAAACACATAAATGAATTTTCTTGACGCCGAACATGCACATTGTGTTTCCTAAATTTAGCCACAAGTTGCGTCAAATGCAAACATATACACACACTTAATGAATCCCAATTGCACACTCAACCATCGTCACACGCTAAGAAAAAAAAAACTATATTGTAATAAATCATAAAAAAAGATGAAAATTACTAATTGTTTACATTTCGCCTGGGTTCTTTTCACTTTCATTTGCAGATACCCGATAAATCACGACCATATGGATGACTTCCTAACAGAGACCTGGTTCATTGTATTGCTCGGCTCAATATTGGCCATCATAATTATGTCGTTCGGTGCAATGGTATTCGTGAAACGAAAGCATATGCTGATGAAACAAGGCGCACTCGGTAAGTTTAACAAGACAAATTATCCCACAGCAACAACAAACCACTCTCCCGTCGGCTAGAAAATATCGAACAAAAACATATTCAAACCGCAAATTTGCATACAAAACGGAACTTGTGGCAGCGCATTTTCCATTTCGTCGTTCCATTTTTCTTTTAATTAAAAAATGGCATGTGTTTGCCGCTGGCGGCGATTAAGTACAATTTTAATACGTGATACATCATATGCAGGTGATTTTTACAACAGAAAAAAATGTTTTTCTTTAAGCACACCATTCATTGACTGCTATTAATTCACTTTCTTCTGGACATTTATTCAGCGGTGAATTTGCTCCCCTCGTCACAACTCTCACTCTCAGTTACTATCCATGAGAGCGGCCAAACACTCACATCGACTGTTTGTTCGCAGTGTTTTTGTTTGATTTGAATTTTTCTTGTTCAAACATCATTGTTTCACTGCATCCATTGACTATTGCAATTCTCGACCCCTCGTCGCATAATTTCACTCACGATCTGGGGATCAAAATGATTATGAAATATAGAAAATGTTTTGTCAGAATATATTTTCCTAACATTTTGGCTTGTGTGTTTGTTTTTCTATAATAATCATATACGCACACAATTCATGGTGAACGCACACACTTTTAAATTGTTTTGGTTTTTCATACCATTTAGCAATGGCAAGTGTAATCTTTGATGGTATTTAACATTAAATAGAAAACAAGCCAATTGGTTTGTTTAGAAGCGCCTCTTTTCATCTCTCGCAAACAATTTAACAATGCCAACGCAATTTCAGTGCGTGGATTTGTGCGAGAGAGAGGAAGAGGGAAGAACAAATCGAACGAGAAAAAATTGTGTGGTGGCAAGCACATTATTCGTATAGGCACAAAACATTATACAGAATGTTTGCACAGTGATTGACTATTGTTTATTTTCTTCACTGTGGTAATTATTTCATAAATAAAACACTGTGTATTTATGCACAAGAAGAATGCATTGAATTCCTTTACTTTTTTTTTCTCTTTCTCCGTTGCCATGATTTCATGTTTGGTTTACCATCAATGGTTCGATTGCGTGAAACTTTTGTGTGAGAGTGAATTGCACACACAGTTAATTTATTGCTGCAAGAGAATTTTTCCTTTGATTGGGTCGATTTTAACCGAAATTCTTTTCACATTTTACACATTTTCCTGTGGATACTGTGATTTTTAGCAAAGTATCGACATATTTGTTTTTAAAAACAATTTATTATCTTCCTATGTTGATACCATATAAAGAAAGAAAAACAAAACCGGTACAGATAATGACACAGCATTTTAATAAAAGTTCTCATTCTCCCTCAGAGGGGATGAAAAAGTCACGTAAAAAGTGATGGTCACGAGCACAAGCAATTAATAAACGTTTTCTAAATGATTTTTAATGCGAACGAACGCGCAGCAATTTTTTTCTCTTGTCGTTATGCTCTTGTCGTTTTTTGTCTATTGAATATTTAATTGACATTTGCTTCGTTTATCTAGCATGAATCAAGTCGGGTGAATTTTTTTTGTTGTCAAAAAGCTGTGTTCATTCTTTCTGTCTATACAATAAACGAGATTGAAAATGCCAACACAATGCTAATCGCATGCAAAATTTATAATCTCACTGTGTGACGCTGCCAAAGCGTAAATGGCTTTCCATTTTTATCACTTTTGAAATTTATAACGTGTTTTTTTTTGTCTTGTTTATTTACAGATGCTCGTTCGAATAGCGTTTTGAAAATATCGAGTATATCACGAAATCGAAATGGTTTCTGGTTGGATCCAACGGGAATGGTATGGAGACAAACTGAATTGCCAAAAGACCAAATAGCTGACTATGCACCGGTGTGTCAAACACCGACTATTCATCGAGACGTTGATCAGAATGGGTAAGTTTTTTTTTGTTGCTCTGTGCAGCCTATCAAAAACTCTATCATGTCGCTTAATTGTCATGTGTATTCATTTTTTTCTGTTTTTCTCTTCCATTTTGTTTTTGTCTCTGTGTGTGTCGTCATATAGATTCATCAATGATTATTCCAATTTTCCGGCCGATTACGCGGAAGTATCAACGTTTAGCAAGGCCCCAAGTGAATGCAGCGGAACACGTTCACCAGCACCGTATGCAACCACAACACTTGTCGGCAATTCACGTTTAATCACAGTAAAGAATGTAAACAATCAAAATATGTACTTTGCCAGCGACTTATATAATCCACAAAATCGTTATGTACACTCCGAATCGTATTTCAATCCAAAAGAAAAAATCAATATCACAGAAAATCGACTTGGATGCAATACATTCAATCCAAATCATGCATCTGCAATGGCAGCAAACACACCGTTCGGTACGATACGCAAAAATCGATTGAAATTGTTACGCAATCCACATTTTCGCATTGGACAAAGCGATGGTAAACTGAATGATTCAAACGATAGCAATGGAAATTTGACTAATTCAAATGCAAATGGACAACAAGAGCAACTTTATGTGAAAATTGGCGAAATGAATCCAACATCAAGTGAATACGATTACAGTGGAATGCGTTGGTCACCACAACAACAACAGCATCAGCATCAACATCAGCAATCGATAGATCAATACCATCACCAAAGACCATCAATGCAACAAAATTACGAACAAACATCTCAAGCGATGCAACAACAGCCACCACAATCGAACAATGGCTCATCGAATCAAAGCATTTACGAGAACCATCATCGTCAAAATAGTGATAAGGATATGATTTATGCACCATCAGCAAATCGCAGCATTATTAGCTATATGAGCTCAAATAAACGTTTCGATGAAGTGTAGATGCATTTATTTTCACCATACACTCTGCACAATACACGCAATTCGATTAATATATTAGAATAATATAAATATATTATTTATGTGTTAATTTAAAAAAGAAAAATGAAAGGAAATTCGACGAAATTCTGTATATTTTGCCACCCCCCCAAATCTAGTGATTTAAAATGAACGAAAATAAGGAAGGAAATACCAAAATTATACTCGAAAAAAGAGAAAATTATTTGTTGTATGCGCTTCATAAAGCATGGCACCTGTAAATAGACTTCAATTTAGACTATGTAGGCATAGAATAGCTATATTCATTTATATATCGTTCGCATCTGAAATTATTCACCCCTAACTTGCGCACACATTGACACACACACGAACATATATACAACATTTATCAACAACATCCGAATAAAATAAGAAAAATTTATGAACAATTTCATCATATTACAACCAAGCAGTATTTGTATTTTTCGCTCCTTAGATATTATTCTATAAAATACTCAAAACAAAAAATGCGTAAATTTTTTATGTTTCAACGTCATTTTATTTCGAAAGAGACTGACACTATCTTCCTTCTCGATGTTATTGCACTTCATATTCTCAGTGGACCGCAATATTTCTGTTCGGTTTGTCTTTTCATGCTTACAATCTCAATTGTTATATAAATGCGTAGAATGCGATGCGTTATAATTTATAGTCATATAGAAAAGGAAACCCAGTCGTATAACTTTTAGAAGCGCCTACGGCGCAACAAAATGTATAAATGTAATTTAATAGAAACCATAAGTCGATAAATAACTTTTCAAATTAGGAGAGAATAACTGGCTAATTTATATTTAAAATGGAGAATAAAATCAAATTTAACGTTCAATGATGATGGACACAAAGCATATTGAATTCATAAACATTAGCATCCTAATAAATATAAATTATCAACAAAATTGAGCAAAAAAACAACTATTATCAAATTAAGCATGTGGAATATACTGTGTAAAATCCGTTACGTATTAGCATTTAAATGAACGTAAACGTCAATAAAAATCATTTAAGCATTTAAATTGAATGAATTAACAACAACAAATTTACTAATATATATATATATATCAAACAAATGTGTATAAATGTATGCGATAACAAATTTTCCCAGAAATTAAATTAAATTAAAAAGAAAAATAAAATAATATTGTGTTTCAATCGCTTAATATTTCAAATTAAAAAAAATTGTGTGTGTTGATTTTTCCGAATTTTCTGCTGTTCTTGAATACTTTTTCCTTTTCTTCAAAAAAATTCGGCAAAAGATTTTCAACCTTTCATTTCATCAATTAAGGTAAAAAAATCCCTTTCGATTTGCAGATTTGCAGCTTTTGTATTCACCGGCCGATTTTAATTACTATTTACTGGAGATCAGATCAAACAAAACATGATAAATTATATTTTTTCCCAAAGTGAATGATGCTTGAAGCGACTTTGATTTCACGTCGACGGTATGATATGACCATTAAGCGCGTTTGTGAAATATTCTTGTCGGTATACATGAATCGGCACATTCTTCTTTCTCTTCTTTCTCTACCTGAGAGAATAGGAGATATATCGCAAAACCTTGTCAGTTGGAATCAAAATTACAAGTGCCTCCAAACATGAATGTGTGTATGTACCTTTGGAAAATCTAATCTTGTGGTGTGATTAAAATGCATGCACGAGCATTGAATATCAAACGAAAACAATGAACCAACTCTCGGGGTGTCTCATTACACTGTGAGCTGTGGAATGTTTTTGTATGCGATTAATTTTGTTTTGATGTTGTATACTGGTTTTTTTTGCCTCTCTCTCGCTTAAATTCTCGTGGCAACATGTTGACTCTTCTTTTTGCATTCGCCACATGTACACAGAATACTCCCATGTAAACACATATTTTCCATCGGAAAATCGGCCGCTATTCAATGAAACTCATACGACGGGCACGACCGGAAAAAAATAGCGATGCACAACATACATCATCTCAACGAAATAAAAACAACAACAGAAAAAAAACCGTAGGAAATGAGAAAAAACGCGGGAAATAAATAGCCAAATGGAAAATCAACTACATTTCATTTGTATTTAAGGCTTTTTCATCCATTGAATGCAATCCTGTGCTCATATCAAAACCTGAAAAATGAAAATTCCACTCATCAGAATGAGAACAAAAAAAAATGTGAGTACAAACAACACAACAGCTTACAAACATTTTTCCCGTACATTTTTCCTATTCACCGTTTATTTTGTGCATTTTTTCATGGATGTGTATTTACTATTTTTCCACAGTTGTGTGCCATCTTACACTCGAAATTCGAATTGGACTGGCGAATTCAAACCAAAATACACATCGAGCGCACAAAAATCACCTTCAATTTGTGTATACAAATTCGTTCGTGCCGACTTTATTTACAAGCATTTTTTCGTAAATACGCTTATGTTGAGCGAATTTATTTTTTTCATATACATTTCTGAATAGTTAAATAAATATTTTTACGTAAACCATTTGGTGTAGTTCTTTTTTGTTTTTGTCGACATTGAACATGGTTTTGCTATCTTTATTTTTTGAACGAATGTTTTTCGTTTGAAAGCACAAATAACAATATCTGGCATTGATTATTATGAATACGTGAACCAAACGAACTTAAGCAATTGCCGGTGCTCGATGTTTTTCTTTTTACGCATTTACTTTTATCGGTTCAATTTGGTGTTTTTCCATGTGCTTTCTTTAATCAGTGCACATTATTTGCTTGTTTGTTTTTTTTTGCTACATCAAAACATCTGTTTTTCTTTCGACCATTCTCATCGCATTTCTCTTAAATCTTATGAAAAAAAGCAAAAGCAAATGCGAACATAACATTTTTATTGAAAATGGATGCAAACACAACAGACGAGACTGTTAGTTGCCATTTGAAATGCTATTATGCTTAATAAATTGAATCAACGAGATTTTTTTTATTAAGTTTTGAAAAGAATGAACGGTTATTATTTGACTGACAATACAATCTGCCATTGAAATGGTTCAACGTTTATGTTCATCAATTTGTAATCGAATGTTAACGAAAGAGAAAGAGAGCGTAAGAGGGAGAGAGAGAGAGAGAAAGCGACAACCATTTTGGCAATCACGATGCGCAATAATATTAACTGAAAAGTAATTAAAAACGATAATCGATTGACTGGAATCAAATTCAGTTATAGCGAATGTAATCAAAACCCATCGAATGAAATTAACATGTGATTCCCTTTTTTCATCTTCACACACTCACATATGATCGATATTGTACTGTCTTTTTTTCGTGCGCATATATGCGAACTAAATTGATTTCCAAATCCATTATGCTGACTAAACGAGTTAAGTTCATAAAAGGATCGAAATCCAATTAAACTCCAACTGAATTGTTGCATAAAGACTAAAAATATAATTTTTCCATACAATATTGCAACATATACTAGTTACATTTAAAACACTCATTGAATTCGGTCGCATTGAAATTTTTATTATAGAGAATTGCTCATGCAAGTTGATTAAATATTAGTTGGATTGATTGTTGTAAAACATTGGCATTACACAATTCATACTATATTTGCACCAATCGACACCAATGCATAATTTATCAATATCAAATTTGTTGTGATTCGCTTAGCTGTTGCCTCATTATAATGAATGGTGTTTGCCATTAGAGTGTAATGCTGAAAATGGTTCTCAATAGAGCCTAAGACCGTTGGAATGTTTAAATTTCGATTTAATATTAAATTGATGTTGAATTTAGAATGACATATTCCAAATAAATACGATTTAAATATAATGGTATCTCTCATTCCAAAAAATGACATTCTATTGGTTCAAATGTAAATAACTAACCAGATTGATAAGCCATGTAATTCATCTACCACCAATAACCCACTGGCATAAAAGAAATTCGATATCAATGCAAAATATCCAAATAACGACCGAAAATATCTTTGAAATGCAATTTTCTGAATGCGTACATGGTATCGATTTTAAGCCATCGCATTTTTGCGGTGTAATGTTTGAAAAACAAATAAAGGAACAATAAATGGAAAAATACCAGCGTGCAGCTGTGTTAATTGAACGACATAAAGAGCGAGCGGTAAATTGAAATCTACAAGCGAATGGCAGTCGTTATGAGTTTTTGAAATAGAACACAAAGTACATTAAGTTTAGTGCACCCATATCGAGCACTGTGTGGCGGTCAAATCATAATCAGTATCATCAGCGGTCCATTGGAGATACTTGCAACAATGTCCCAAATTAATGGGATCTACCGTCGACAAGAGAAGAGATACATAGAGAGAGAGAGAGAGAGAGAGAGAGAAGGAGAGCGGGCGCAGAGAGAGACACAGAGAGAAAATGCAAATAATAGCTTTTGCACGCATATGACCGTTTTCGCCACCGAAAATGCACTTGAACAAACGGCTCAAAATTACTGTAGAAAGCCAGGAAACGGATGTATGCCAACGATACGAGAACGATATGCTCGTAAGCGCGACAAGGCGAACATAAACACACACGCACACACAATGTAAGGCATATAAATGTTTCGTTTGGCCATGTCAATGCTAAAATTTACGCAAAAGTATTCCGGTATTTCTGGCCAATATGCCATAAATCTGTAGGCGGGAAATTAGCTCTGGTCACTGCATTTAGATGCATTTGTACAACACATACATACAAATAAATAAATGGCATACGTGCCAAGCCTTTGGTAGAGATCCCAAAAACCCATTTCAATGAATGCATTTTGATTTAACATTGTTCGGCATGAATCATTTATTATCGGCACATTGCATTTGTTATACTGTGTACGGTATTCCATTGCAACATTCAAATCAACGTTAATAATAGGTCTTTTAAAATGAATGTAATGAAAATGGGGGGAGAAAGAGAGAGAGAGAGCAAGAGTGAACTTTGATTATGAACTACCACCAACGTGCTGTTGAAATGAAATCAACCATTTTCGAAACCGAATATTCAATTCAAACTGTAATCGAAACGCCATTCAAAATATTGGAATCTTCAGATCGTTCAAATGCCAAAACGAATTTTCTGACAAAGTACAAACCAAAAGCCAGAAGAACTATTAAGTGATTAGCCGCGTTTTGATTTGAAATTTTCTTTTCGCGCAATACCTCTCCTTCTCATTCATTAGTTTTATGGATTCCATTTTGGCATGCAATTATCTTGTAGCTGTACAACATTATCGCTCAATGGACATAATCGCCGCACATTTCATTTTGTTTTGTTTCATAAATGTAAACGTGCAGCAGTTTACTTGCACCCACACTCACCGATGACTTACTGCACACCAAAAGAAAACATGGTTGTAAATCGAAAAAGTGGTCATTAATGCGGCACGTTTCAGCCCAATCGGTAATAAATCCATTGCGTTATTGGAGAAAAAAATAAACGAAAAAGGTATGATGGGTACGAGCGGAAATTCATGTGTGTGCGAGTGTAAGTGTTGTGCAACTGCACAAATCGAGATAAATATAAATCGACAAAAACAATACAAGTGGGTCGCAGTGGAAAATCGTTTTTCTTCTCAGACACTTATTCATTTTATTACAAACATTCACATTAATTTCAGTTTACTGGAAATTCAGGAGATTGTGCAAGCATTGCCAAGGAAATGGCTGCACAAGATTTTGTACACCGAAACGGAATAACCAACAGTATTCGAAAACCGAGAATTAACTGACATTGGGTGACTCAGTTTTATCCCGATAAAAAATATCAAAAGATTCCAGGCTACTGAGTAAGAAATGAACAAGATACATTTAACGAAAAACGTGTCTTTAAATGGTTCTGACATGCACATTTCATTAGACCGGATAAATAAATGACCTGAATGTATTTCCGAAATGATGTGGCAACGGTCACTGCGATTCTTAAAAGCATATTTTCAAGGGGTGGATCGAATTGCAGATCATCGTCGTATACAGACTCGGTAAATTTTACTTGTTTTAAATGCAGCTAAACACCATTGCCACTTACTTACTCGGCGTTAAGCACCATTACCACTAAACACCAAAGTTGCGTTCCGAGTTGG